CCGCCCCCCAAGCCCTCTGGGGGCGGGGGGGGAGCGCTGGGTGGGGAGAAGGGGGGTGGAGGCGTAGGCAGAGGAATAGCGGAGAAAGTTACATTGCAGCGGGGCGCGCTGCTGCTGCTGCTTGGTCTGTGTCTCTTGCGAGGGGAGGCTTCTTCCAGGCAGACAGGGAGAGATGATGGCGAGAGCAGGAAAAGATCAGAGAGGGGTGCGGGCTGCAGACCTTAAATGGAAGAAGATGGGTTGATCCCCTGAGGGATGCATATAGAAAGTGGGGGTCGGGGAACAGACAGCGGAGGCTGCAGCTGATGTTCCTGCACTTTGATCAGGACGATTTTGGGAGCTGCTTTGCAGGGAGAAATATGGTTCTGGCCTATCCTAAGAGAAGAGGGTGGGAGTTTAGCTAATGTTGCAGCAGCAGTCCCACAGGGCTGATAGGTCATCATGCCAAGGGCTATAGGCTGCAGCATTTCCCAAAGTGTCCCAAAGGGGGGGAGGGAGAGTTGGCAAACTTTTTTGAAAGTCACTGAGAATGACATTTTTCCTGCTTTGTTTTGTTTTGTTTTCTTAATAACTTGAATAAGGTTTTTTTTCCTCCAGACTAAAAGAAACGTTTATGCCAGAATTAAATCACATCTATAGCAGAAATGCAAAATTTCCCTTCTTGTGTTTCTTTTTCAATTCTGGAACATGGCTTGTGATCTAATTGTAACCCTGAGGCACTGACAGAGGAGAGTAAAATATGCTCTGCTTTAGCTTAAAATTGGTTTTTAGCATATCTGGTAGAAGCTCATGGTTTTAATCCCCGAAGGTCACAAGTTCAATCCCTCCTGCCCACAATGGTTGGTTTTACTTAAGTACTGGTCATGAATATTACTGATGCTAAATTAAAGAAATCCCATGTTCAGATTTAGATCACAGACCTATTTTGCTGGCAATTGTTTTTAATAATACTTACATTTTTTAAATCAAAATTTTAAAATCAGACTAATATCAAGCCCATTTATTTCTCAAGACAGCTAAAAGCAATCTTTAAATTGTATGGAAAGAATGACCATTCATCATACAATTCAAAAGTGCATTCCTTAAGGGACATTGTTTCAAGGAGAAATGGAGAGAGTCTGGTTTAATGAGTAGAACAAGATACTGGAAATCAGGGATATTATATTTTTAGTCTGCTTTTTGTATTCCAGTATCACCAAGAGGCCTTGACCAAGAGCTGCAGTCTGTTGTCTAGGTACTGCTCAAACAGAGACTGTGACCCAAAGAGTCTTCAGTCTGTTATACTGGGGGTCAGACTAGATTATCTAGATTGCAGAGGCCCCTTCTGACCTTAAACTGTGAGTAAACTAGATTTCAATAGAACACTGACACACAAGCTTAGGTTTAAGCATCTTCTTAAATGCTTTACTAACTAGACAAGATAGGCAAAGGAAATGTTGTTACTTTGGTTTTACAGAGGGTGAACCAATGAACAAAAAGATGAGGTGATTTTTCCAAGACATTTGCAGTAGAACTAGGAGTTGAATCTAGAAACATAGAATCCCAGTCCAATGTCTTATGATTTAGCTGACTATGCCACTGACTTTCTTTGTGACACTGCCCCAATCAGTTAGGCTATGTCTACACTGCAAAGAAAAGTCAGGAAAAGATACGCAAATTGCAAACTGCAATTTGCGTATCTTTTTCAACTTTTTTTTCTGAAAGAAGCTTTTCTGAAATTTGGCCTATCTACACAGGGCCAAATTTTGGAAAAACTCCTCTTTTGGAACATCTCTTATACCTGTCATGGAGAGGAATACAGGGATGCTGAAAGAACATGTCCGCTTTTTCGGAAACTGCTCCAGTATCCCGGAAAAGCTCTGCAGTCTAGATATAGTCTCAGAATGTTTTCCTTCAAAGCATTGAACACCTCCTGACAAACACAGAGTCTTCACTACAATTGACATCTGGCCAGTCAGCACCTTGCACATGTAGATTTTTGATCTATCCATTCTTTGCTTTTTCCTATCCAGGAAGTGATGACGGTAGTCAACTCTCATCAGGGACATGTGACATTTAAGATGTGTAAAGTGTTTTAAGATTGAAAGCTTCTATAAGTGCAGTTATTATTATAGGGCATTATTTTTAAATTACCATTGTTTAAGGCCTGATCCTGTGCTCCTTGCTCAGGCAAAACTCCCATTGAGAGAACTGGGTCCTGAAAGAAGTGTAGTGATAAATGTATCTAAATTATGCCATTGATTGATTTAGACACATATAAAATTGTTAAAATGTTAATGAAAAAAAATATACTCACATATATAAGGCGATTTTTAGTTAAAGCTGGGGACAACTACACAAACATTAATTTATTCGTGAAGGGCATTTGCAATCTATCTCCTTCACTGTGGAAACAGATTTCCTTCATTCCTAGGTGGTTTTTAAAATTGTCTTTTAAAACAAAAGTGTCTGGATTAGATATGGAGTGGTTTCTCTGACATTGTCGCCTTTACACTAGTGTACCTTAATCTTTGCTTAGTATGCTAACCATGTCTCAACCACATGTAGTCTATACACGTTGTATATTCAATCTTAAGGGAGCATTTATATTCAAATACATATGAGGTAGCTGCTACAATGCAACTTCCATTCATGAAAATTTCACAATGAACAAGTATCGGAGGGGAAGCCATGTTAGTCTGAATCTGCATAAACAATGAGAAGACCCGTGGCACCTTATAGACTAACAGATTTATTGGAGCATAAGCTTTCGTGGGCAAAGACCCACTTCATCAGATGCATCTGACGAAGTGGGTCTTTGCCCATGAAAGTTTATGCTCCAATACATCTGTTAGGGTATGTCTACACTTGCTCCCTAGTTCGAGCTAGGGATGCAAATGTGGCCGACCGAAATTGCTAATGAAGTGGGGATTTAAATATCGGCCATACTGGGTCAGACCAAAGAACGGCCATACTGGGTCAGACCAAAGGTCTATCTAGCCCAGTAGCCTGTCTGCCGACAGTGGCCAGCACCAAGTGCCCCGGAGGGGGTGGACCGAAGACAATGATCAAACGATTTGTCTCGTGCCATCCATCTCCAGCCTCTGACAAACAGAGGTCAGGGACACCATTACTACCCCTGGCTAATCGCCTTTTATGGACCTAACCTCCATGAATTTATCTAGCTTCTCTTTGAACTCTGTTATAGTTCTAGCCTTCACAGCCTCTTCTGGCAAGGAGTTCCACAGGTTGACTATGCGCTGTGTGAAGAAGAACTTTTGCTTATTAGTTTTAAACCTGCTCCCCATTAATTTCATTTGGTGTCCTCTAGTCCTTATATTATGGGAACTAATGAATAACTTTTCTTTATTCACCCTCTTCACACCACTCATGATTTTATATACCTCTATCATATCCCCCCTCAGTCTCCTCTTTTCCAAACTGAAAAGTCCCAGTCACTTTAGCCTCTCTTCATATAGGACCTGTTCCAAACCCCCTAATCATTTTAGTTGCCCTTTTCTGAACCTTTTCCAAGGCAAAAATATCTTTTTTGAGGTGAGGAGACCACATCTGTACACAGTACTCAAGATGTGGGCATACCATAGTTTTATACAGGGCCAGTAAGATATTCTGGCTGTGTCCAGACTCAAGGGTTTTTTCGAAAAAAGTAGCCTTTTTTCGAAAAATCTTCACTTGCGTCTAGACTACAGCCGCGTTCTTTCAAAATTAAATCGAAAGAACGCGGCTTTTCTT